GGGTACACTTGAGTCTCAAAAAGTTATAGCCAAATTGGCAAAATGTCGGAAAACTTTATGAGACTCTAACGTCCCGGGGAATTTTTTTTAAATTTTTTCGAGGCCGGATTCGTACTCAGCGCATGTCAGAGTACCATATAAGTCGAATTTCAGGTCAAAATTCGAAAATTTTGTCCCACCCCCTATTTCCAAAAGGGAATTTTCCCCTTTTGGGGAAAATTCGGGATTTTTTAGGGGGCCATAACTTTTTGTGGGATTATCGGATTTGGATGGGGTTTCTTTCTAAAAATAGTATTAAAAATTAGAAATTTTTACAGCCGAAAAAATTACGAAAAAATTCGAAATTGGGCACGAGGGGGTCGAATTTCGAAAACCCAAAAATTTTTCGGTTTTTCGAAAAAAATTCGGGATTTTTGCCGACGGTTCGACCCGAATGTATTTTTCCTGGATAGAGCAGATTTTTCTGCATAGAATAAGACTTTAAAATGTTCAAAAAAGGTTAACTTTACGAAAGTTATGAATTTTTGAAAATTTGGTCGATTTTTTCGGCCAAAATTTTCGACCAAAAAAATATTTTTTCCAAAATGTGAATAAATGGGCCAAATGTTATATCATTCGAAAGCCCTTATCGCCCTGAGTCTAAAAATATTTTTTAGAAAATTTTCTGACCATTTTGTCCAAAGTTACAAAAGGTCAAAATTTCGGGGGTGGGCAGTACCATACCCAGTAGGGTACCAAAGGAGTGGTAATTAATTAAAAGACTTACGTTATATTGTAGAGCAGCCTCAAATCCATCGAAAAATACGAATATGTTTGGGGGGTCACTTGAGTCTGACCAAGTTATGGGTGTCAGAGTTTTCGGGATTGGGGATTTTGGGGGCCGAAGGCCCCAATCCGAAGCCGAAGACTAAAACGGTGGGTTTGGGGGGCCGAAGGCCCCCCAAACGCCCCGAATCAACCCACCACAGCTACCAAAAGGCACAGTAACCTTCTAAACGCTGGGTTTGGGGGGCCGAAGGCCCCCCAAACGCCCCGAGTCAACCCACCAAAACTACTTAAAGGCAAAGTATCCAACTAAACGCTGGGTTTGGGGGGCCGAAGGCCCCCCAAACGCCCCGAGTCAACCCACCAAAGCTACTTAAAGGCAAAGTATCCAACTAAACGCTGGGTTTGGGGGGCCGAAGGCCCCCCAAACGCCCCGAGTCAACCCACCACAGCTACAAAAAGGCAAAGCATCCGTCTAAACGATGGGTTTGGGGGGCCGAAGGCCCCCCAAACGCCCCGAGTCAACCCACCAAAGCTACCTAAAGGCAAAGTATCCTCCTAAACGGTGGGTTTGGGGGGCCGAAGGCTTCCAAACGCCCCGAGTCAACCCACCAAAGCTACTTAAAGGCAAAGTATCCAACTAAACGCTGGGTTTGGGGGGCCGAAGGCCCCCCAAACGTCCCGAGTCAACCCACCAAAGCTACCTAAAGGCAAAGTATCCTCCTAAACGGTGGGTTTGGGGGGCCGAAGGCCCCCAAACGCCCCGAATCAACCCACCACAGCTACCAAATGGCACAGAATCCGACTAAACAAAGGGTTTGGGGGGCCGAAGGCCCCCAAAATGCAAAGTAAGGATTTATTAATATGTAACGTAATTCGCCAAGCAAAAAAGAAAATCTAGCGTGCTTTTAAAGCCGCAGGCTTTCCACGCGCGTCCCTGGACGCGCCCCAAAGCACTAGCAGCGCGCGAAGCGCGCCCCAAAGCCGTCAGGCTTTCCAAAACCAAAAAGTATGGTTCCAAAGGCTCCCCCCGAGAATACCAAACCCAGAGTGTCCTGATATATACCCCAGTGGTTAAACCCATCACTAGTTATATATATATATAATAGTTTTTAAACTCAGACAAAAAAAACTTCAGCGGTCCCAATTTTGGTCGTACCTCCCTGAAACTTGCACATTGTTCATGGTTGTTGACGAGGCGCATCCGAAATAATTATTGATTTTTCCCTACGCCGGCGCCTTCGCGCCGAAACGACCCCTGGGACCTGGCTATCTCGTGAACCGGAAGAGATAGCGAAAAACTTCCGCTTAGAGGGCCCTGACCCGCATTTAGTAGATGTCGAATAAAAAAAAATTTCGAAAAAATTCGAACTCTAAGGTACGATATGCTTGTCTAACCCTTTTTAAATGGTGCCATTTTGTCGCATAAGGGGGTGTGATATTTTGTCGTATTTCTATAACAAGAAAACGACAAATGGGACTGAAATAAAACCGGCGGGATAGTAGGTAATCGACCCCGGGGATTTTAATGCGCATGATAATTTTGGTGCCACACTCGAGTGTGGCACTGAAACGACCGGTCATGGAACGGTTTTTTGGATCGATATAAAGCCGGTTGGGTATTAGGTAATCGACTCCGGAAAGTTTAATGCGAATGTCCATTTTGGTGCCACACTCGAGTGTAGCACCGAAACGGCCTGTTCATGGAACGGGTTTGGGAATGAAGTAAAATCGATGGGGTTGTATGCAATCGATCCAGTGAAAAGGCGGACAGACAAAACACGGACGATGGCGGACATACAAAACACGGACGAAGGCGGACAGACAAAACTCTGACGACGGCGGACAGAAAACACGGACGAAGGCGGACAGACAAAACACGGGCGAAGACGGACAGACAAAAGTTCCAACTAGGGTTTGGAACAAAAGACTTGCCTATCCGTGTTTTGATGGCCCTATACGCATATAAGGGGGTAATCGTTTTTTTCCTTACTTTTTCCTATCCATTTTTACTTTTTTTTCCTTTCATTTTTCCTTTCTAACTTTGACTGCCCGTGGTTCGTCCATTCGTGTCCGTACGTGTTGGTTCTGTCCTTCTTCTTCTGTGTTTTGTCTGTCTGTGTCCGTCCGTGTTGGTTCTGTCCGTCTTCGTCCGTGTGTTGTCGGTCGGTGTACGTCCGTGTTAGTAAAATTTATTGGAAAATTCATTGGAAGTAAACAGAGGAAAAAGTCTGACCATAACGCGCGCCCTCTAAAAGTTTAGTCGAGGGTCGACGCCTGGATCACGGGTGTCCATAGTGACATTAAGGAAACACTTTTAGGCGTGACTATAGCCTGACTCAGTGAATAATCATGAGAGGTGTAGCACCGTACGTAAGAGTCAAAATGCCTAGGAATAAGTGTAAAACTATAACTAAACAATCTAAGTGTCCGCAGTGTCTAGCTATAACTGAGTCAAACTGTGAAATGCTCATGAATGCGGCGAAAAAACTTTTCGATTCCTTACTTAATCAGTAAAACACGAGTTTTGTCTCGAGTAAGACACGAGCTTCCGGTAACTACGAGCTTTGTAACCTCAGCGAATAGACTGTGTATTAGCAGAGCTGGAATTACCGCGGCTGTTGCGAGAATCAGTAGAAACACGGATAAACCACAACAGTTGATTCTGTCTGTGTTCGTCCGTGTTTTGTCTGTCTGAGTCCGTCAGTGTCTGTCTATCCGTTTTTGTCCGTGTTTTTCTGTCCGAGTCCGTCCGTGTGTGCCACAGGTAAAAAGAGTGAATTGAATGAAGAAGAAAAGACTGACCATTATTTATATACATATCATGGTTGAAAAAATGATGAAAAAATTCAAACCGCCGATCATGGCCAATAGGATTATGGATGGCAGCAAGCGTGGTGGAGCTTCCCGGAAACGTAAGTCTTTTGGTTTCGGGGGAAGTATGGTTGCAAACTAAATTTAAAAATTGACGGAAGGGTACCACCAGGAGTGGAAAAATTAAGCCTGCAGCTTAATTTAACATAACACGGGGAAACTCACCAGGCTTGGACACTGCGGATTGGCAGATTGATAGCTTTTGTGATTCAGTGGATGGTGGTACTTTTAGTGTATACAGCTTCTTAGAGGGATTTGCGGTGTTCAGCCGAAAGAAATTGAGCAATAACAGGTCTGTGATGCCCTTAGATGTCAGGGGCTGCACGCGCGCTACACTGGCAAAATCAACGTGAATGTCCTGGTAGGACGAAAGAAACCATTGACCACGAAAAAAACCATTGAAAATTTGCCGTGATAGGGATCGAAAATTGCAATTATTTTCCGTGAACGAGGAATTCCAAGAATGCGAGTCATCAGCTCGCGTTGATTACGTCCTTGCCCTTTGTATACACCGCCCGTCGCTGCCCGGGAGAATGCCATATCGAGAAATTTTGGAACGTTGATTTAATTTTCTAAATTAATTCGATGGAAACTAAACCGGACTAAACTAAACCGGATTAATTCGATGGAAACTAAACCGGACAAAAGTCCGGATGTTACTTTATTGGTAAAACACGAGTTGCGTCTCGAATAAGACACTAGCTTCCCGTAACTACGAGCTTCGTGACCGCATTTATAATCCTTTGTGTTAGAAGAGCTGGAATTACCAAGGCTGTTGTGCTAATAAAAATTACACGTAGAAAAAACTCGGACGAAGGCGCACAGACAAAACTGAAGAAGGCGTTGTCCAGTTTATGCGTCCCACTAATATCTATGCGTCCCATGACGATTTATGCGTCCCATGACGATGAAATCAAAATTATAGTTGGATCTCATGAAATGAAAAATTATAGCTAGATTAGTAGATTACTGTAACTATTATTTTTGAAGCACTTTTTCACTATTTTTTGTGCATATTTCAAGCCCTTATTTATGACACTTATTATCTAATCTATACTTCTCTAATTATTATTATGAGTTAGACTACAATGATTTCTAAGTATAAATCTTTATTGTCTAATCCCTTTTTTTCTCTAATTTTATAGATTGCTTTCGATTAAAGACTTTTTGAGTAAATATGTGCGATAAGCCAACTGCGAATACTCAAGGTTTCGAGATGTTTTACGCGGAAAATGCTTTGCGAAAACTAAAAATTTTGCCAATTTTTATATTTATCTGTGTTATATTTTTGTGAAAGTGGATTGGGAAAAGCTAATATTTGGGAAATTCATTGTGAAACAAGCCCACAACTTTAAAAAAGCTTAGTACTAATGCCATCGAGGGAGAAGAAAAAGCGTAAGGAAAAAAGGGAAAGGTACTCCGGTACCATAAACCAAAACAGTCCTCGTCAGGACTCAGATCAGGCTGCGCAGCTGGAACAGTCTGATAGCTATTCTTATCCGCACACTCAAAATAGTCCTATTCAGGACTTTACATCTAATACTGATAACCCTTGCATTCCATCCAGCTCGGGCAGATTTACGTTTTCTGAAAAGGATATTGAAGATAATGAATTAATTGAAGGTCTTGTGGAACCACTCACACCGTTGAGCATCTCTTCGGAGACATGTGTTCCTCGTAAAATTCCTAAAACACACGACTCATCTATCGAGTCAATGGATACGATAAGTGTGACCTCATCTCTTGAGTCGCTTTCTGAAATTCCACAAATCTCATCCATATCTTCTAGTAAAAAAGTTGGCCCACCAAAACGAAAAGGTGTTGGAGGGAGGCAGAAAAAAGATATTCATTCGCATATTGAGACGGTCGAACCTACAGTTACTGGACCGAGAAATATTGATTTTTCTACGTTGAACACTCTGGAATTTGCTACGGCAAAAACTTATGAGCCTAGCATTTGCAGTCGAACAGTAATGCCACTTTATGAGAGGGATTCTGAAAAATTAGGCCCTCGATTCATTGAAACAATGTGGAATAACCTTTCAACATGGCTTAATGATGCATTCATTTTTCCATATTTATGCTATCTGGCCAAAATTTCAGGCCGAAAGACTATTGTGGTTGATCCACTTATAACGGATCCTACTGTTCAGCAAGTTCCAGATTTAACGTACATTAATTATACATATATTACAGAACAAGAACGTGAAGTCGAAGTTCTGATTCTTCCTGTGCATTTACCAGGTCATTGGACTTTATTAATATGGGATTCTGAGTTTGGAGTTTATTTCTTCGACTCTATCCCGAATATTCCACACAGACTTCATGAGGATCACGTAAATTACCATCCGCAAAGGCTGCCAAAACTAAAGGAGATTATCTCTGAACTGACAAATACTCCTGTTGATTTATTACATATTGGGACTTATGCCACAGATTTGTACCCGCGCCAGCAAGATGGTAATAGTTGCGGATATTTCATCTGTCTTTATGCTGAAGCGTGGTTAATGAATAACCGTAATATGGCTTTGCCCCATCTAAACATTAATACCGAAAAGAAACGCATCTTGTGGCATTTGAACCAATTGTATTCTGGTGATAATGTTGAGTATCACCCAAGGTCAGTTCAAGAAATATGCAGACCAAAAAAAATCAAGGATAAAGCTCCCTCGAGACAATCTACTCCGAGAGCATCCAAAAATACAGTTGCTGATCCGAAAGGAGATCAAGTTCTTCCCCTGACTCAACGATGTTACTTGAAGCATCAGGGCATCAGATGTGGGTCTATCGAATCAGGTCATCTTCCTGAGTATTATAACTCGGGTTCGTTAGGGGATAGAACTTGCGTGCACTGTAATAACAAGTTATTAAAATCAGAAAAATGTTTAGCTTGCGCAGATGGTCGAGTGCGACTTGATCCACTTAAAGAATATCCAAATGATTATGAAAGACTTTTGACCGGTAAATCACACGAGTCTAAGGAATTTATTCGATATCAAAGTAAATATAATAGTCTATTTGCTTTTGGTTCACTTTCTGTAGGTCGACAAAATGCGCCGCTTGGTGGACCAATGCCTGTTCTTTTAAATGGAGAATTTTCGAGGAAAATCGGAAGCCTGCTTCCAGGAGACCATCAAATTCCATCCTTTGATCAGTTATATATTCTTGATTCCGAGGACGCTAATAACTATCGACTGAATAATGTTAGCTTTGATGATTGGAAAAAGAAAAATCCTTATCTTTTTGACGTTCTTGATAGATTAATACGGACGAATCATCCTATGTCTGCAATTCTTGAAAATTCATATGAATTTTACAAACATCTCGAGCAAAATGACCCTGAGATGCTTCAAAATTTCAAAGTTATACTAGTCGAAGATAAAAATGCACCTGCGGCTATTCAAGATCCGAGTTTACATCCTCGACAGGTTAATTTGCCATGCCAAAATGAATCTTCGGTCTTTGCTATTTGGTCATCTAATACAGACGAACCACCACCTCTTAGAGGTATTTGGATATCACTTAAAGGAAGAGTTACCGAATTATGGCCGACTCACCGAATGACTGACTCTATTCTTTATCCATGCATGTTTTTGCTTGGAGATGATGGTTATGACTCAAAGATACCGTATATAAAATTATCTAAACGGTCATCGAAAAAACAAGATGAATGTGACGAAGAACAATCGGAAACAGGTTCTATTGCTCCGAGCGATACTTGCTCTGTTGATATTTATGGCGACGAACCAAGCAGGTCTCGTACAACTCTCTCAATCAGGGCATTCTATCGGTATCGTTTCGGTATTAGAAACCCGGAAAATGATAAATACCATCATATATGGAGTTCAGGAGGTGGGTTGAGCCAAAAATTCATACTCGATATAGCTGCTAGAATTGATGCTCAGGTCTTCGATTATCTACGTAAGCCTACTATGGATTTAAGGTCCGAAGTGGCGCCAGAATTATTAGAATATTGGGCTAAACACGGCGAGCGACCCTACACAGAAGACGACATTGGAAAAGTTGTTCTTTTTAGAAGTTATATGCCTGGATTTAGGCCATATTTTAAAGAAAAATATACTGATGGTTGTACAATTATAAATCGTACACGAAAGCGAGGGTGCGCCATGTTTATGTTAACGTTTACTTATAATCCTAGATGGCCTGAGCTTCAAAATGAACTGTATAATAACGGACAAGTACTTATAGATCGACCAGATATTATCATGCGATACTATGCTGATAAAGTCCAGGAGATTCACAAGGATATTAAGAACAGATCAATACTCGGGAAGGAGATTGGTTCTGCTGAAAGCATGGAATTTCAGAAAAGAGGTGGACCGCATTTTCATAGGGTTATGGCAACGGATATTCCCTCTATACCTGAAATTATTGAAGGTTATATATGGGCACATATCCCTCCTTTGCCTAAAAATACAGACAAAAGTCAACGTGCTGTAGCTATGAGACGCCTTCGAGAGCTTGTACTAAAACACCAGCTTCATGACTGCAAACCAGATCTGTGCGGAAAACAGAATGCCAGCGGGCAATGTTCGAAATATTTCCCGAAGGAATATTCTAATAGAACTATTTTATTTGACGACAAGCCAGCTGTCTATTATCGACCGAGCCCAAAAGAAGGTGGTGAAACTGTGGAGCTACCAAAGGGTGGGATTCTTACCGAATACACCAATGCTCACGTCATACCTTATAATCCGTTCATTCTACTAAAATACGAAACTCATCATAACATTGAATTTTGTTATGGTGAAAAAACAAATATGAAATATACTATGAAATACTCATTTAAAGGTCCATCAATTCAGTACATTCGGATGGAAGGGGGCAAAGTCGATATAGATGAGCCAGCACATTATTCTCAAATGTATTATAGATCAGCAACTGAGGCTTATGCGAGAATCCACTCTATGCCTTATGCACGACTTTCACACACTGTATACAAGCTCCCTCTTCATTTACCAGGGAAGCAACAAATTTACTTTCAAGCAGGCCAAGTTCGGGCCGCTGTCTCGAAGATTCTTTCAGATGACTCAGAGATTAATGAAGATGAACTACCAAATACCATGCTCTCTGAGTATTGGGAAATGTATTTTTCTGGAATGTCGTGGCAGTATGTTGGTAAAAAGTGGATTTTAGCAGACGACTCATTGATCAAGACTATTTTATACGAACATTTGCCGGAGCATTACTGGTATGATAAAAGTCAGAAGACATGGAAGAAAAGAATTAATAAAAGACAAAATGTCATTGGTCGAATCAATCCTAGACCATCACCTCGAAATCAAGAGCTATTTGCACTTTATGTCCTTCTCCGCCATTTTCCTGGCGATTCTGAATCATTAAAAGAAGTGAACGGTTATAATTGTGAGACTTTTGTAGAGGCTGCGCGTTTAAGAGGACTTCTTTCTGACGATAGTATGTGGGAGAGAACGTTAGAAGAAGCCTCTCATAGCTGTAGTCCGCGTGAGCTACAATACCTGTTTGTACAGATATTAGTCTTCGGAAATCCGAGCAATGCTCGCGAATTATGGGAAAAGTTCATTGAGAACATGTTCAGCCCTGTGATGGGGAATGATCCTAGTGGAAACGAAAGAATGAGAAGGATAGATCGGGCATTAGCTCATATAGAAGCTCAGCTTGCAGATTATGCTATGACCAATGAACATTTTAATCTTGATTCTCCATCCTCTGTGATGCGACAAAATGTAGATACAGCTCTCGATAGCTTCTTCTTTGGAGATAATGATGAGTTTGCTAGCGGAAAAAAATCGGACACGAAATTAAATGCTGATCAGGAAAAAGTTTGGCAAGTAGTTCACGATGCACTCCAAGGAGCCTCATCCAATACTATCTTTGTCACCGGAGACGGTGGCACTGGAAAAACATATTTATTTAATACTATTATTTCACGTCTACGAGACATGAGAATCCGCGTAATTGCTTCGGCATATACCGGTTGTGCAGCGACACTTTTAACAGGAGGAGCTACCGTTCATTCGGTATTCAGGTTCGGAATAAATGTTGAGGAAGATTATACTCCTTCTGTTTCACTGCAAAGTTTTCATGGTAGACGTATTAAAGACAGCCAAGTAATAATAATTGATGAGGTTTCTATGCTTCCAAAGCATATGTTAGAGGGCATTGACAGACTTTGTAAACAATTAGTACCAGCAAATCTTAGAAGTAGTCCATTCGGCGGAAAAATTATTATTTTGAGTGGGGACTTCAAGCAATCGCTACCAGTTGTTGCTGGAGGTTATATGAGAGATCAAGTTAATTCCTGTATACAGTCTTCATCATTGTGGTCGCTTTTCAGGAATAATATTCTAACTCTGAACATAAATATGCGTCAGGGTCAGAACGAGAAACAGTTCACTGATTGGTTGCGTGGAATTGGTAACGGAACTTTCAGTTCCCAAGTTGAAATACAGCAAAAGAATATCGTTAACTCGCGCCAAGAACTGATCAACTTTGTTACGGACAATAATAATGCTCTATCGAATCCGAAAGAGCTCATACATAATCTAATATTAGCACCACATAATGATACTGTAAAGGATATTAACGAGGATATGCTTAAACGAATAAAAGGAAAAGAAAAAATATATTTATCGACTGACGAATCTAAAGTCGATAAGCCAATGGACTACGATGAGATTGAATATGAAGTTGAAGCTTTAAATGCTTTTGATCCAGCATCAATCCCACCACACCGGTGTTGTGTCTCTGCACAACAAGAAATACACAATACAATAATGTGTTTATCACACAATAGAAATAACAATAGTATTGAAGCAATAGAATAAGGTTGGGATAATATTGGAGACAATTAGGAGACACGGACTGACAATTGTGTGAGGCTTTTATAGTAGCCACCACACCACAACACCTCCCCCTTTGCAAGGCTGGGGTTACAACACCGCAATACAAAACATACAAACAATAACAAAAGTCCGGTCAACAAATACATACAAAAAAATTTGAGGGAATAAGGGAACAAACAAAATTTTACAAATCAAAAGAACATTTTATATATCTTATTTATCGTCGATCCTTCAGAGATATTTGAACCCTCAGAATTTATCAAACCCTCAGAACAGCTCTGCATCCTATCTTCAGATCCCTCAGAATTTAATGATCCCTCAGAACAGCTTTCCATCTTATCTTCAGACTTTTCGGACCAGATCTTTGTTTTCTTCTTC